AATATGATCAATAGAAATTCCCAAATAGAAATATGCCAAAACATATAACATAATGAAGTTTATGAATTATTTGGCCAAATCCCTGCCTTAATTGCATCTACTGTGAAGGAAAAAATTTAGTAAGAAATGTTTTGACAGAACGGTACAGCTTTAAGTGTACACAACAGAAAAGACGGTTGTGGTAAAAGCTTAGACTTCTGCCTTAAGAACTTGGGAAAGGAAGAGAAAATATACCCAAGTAAAGGAAAGAAAGAATAGATAAGAAATTGAAGGAAGAGAAACAAGCTCACTGCAGACAGGAAAAGGTCAGGCCAGAAGGTGGTTATCTGAAAAGAATAGTAAAAGTAACAAACCCCCTCAGCACTATCAATAACCATGACTTTATGAGGGTCAAGTCTGGCTGTCAGGATATCTAGAACCACCATGGAAGACTGGAGATGGTGGAGAGCTAGACTCATAACGTCCTAGTGTCACTGACAAGAAGAGGGACTTAGAACTGAAGCCAATTCCATTGAACCTGGAACTAAAAAAAAAAAAAATTACTCTGTGTAGATCTGTGTATTCTTTCATCACGTAATTCAGTGTTTAGCACAGGTGTTCTCTATCCATAGACATCATCAGATAATACTTTTAAGTCCAGTTTGTCTATAACCAAAGAAACAAGTTTTCTGGGGACAGAGCTATTCAACAAGCCTTTTACTTCATTCCTTTGAGAAACAGTGACTGACATTTGTGAAAATGTAACTACGACCGTTCCTCCTTCTATCCAGAAGGCACCAGTGAAAACAGCAGTCCCATCCATCTAGAACCTTGGAAGCAGAGAAGGGAGGAAAATCAAGGAAGGAAATAAAGTATCTGGAAAATAAAAATTATATACATACATACATACATACATACATATATCTCGCACGCACACACACACACACACACAAACACACACATCCTACCCAATTCTGTTGTGGGTTCTAAATGTATACTGTGCACAGGTTAGTAGAACCCTAAGCCATGAAAGTAAATCTGGTCTACAATGCACAAATGCCAATGACCTCAGCAGAAATAAAGTTAAAATCACTCAACTGCTCTTCAGAGCACATCTTTCTACCCATGTACGTTGGAGCGACTACATATACATGAATCCATGTGTATAATACTATATACAATATTAAAAAACCACAAACATAGACTATAATGTCAGCACTTCCAAGGCTGACGAAAGATCATGAGTTTTAGGTCTGTCTGGGTAGTATAGCAAAGCCTCATCTCAAAATACAAAAACTAAAGTTACTATCATACACACAATGCAACAATTTTGGTGACCAATTTATTTCATACTTGGTAGGTAATATTGGAAATAACAGAAAAACTTAAAGGCAATTATTAATTAATTACTGTAGAATTATTATATTAAGATGACTGAATGAAGAAATAAAATTCTTTTATAATTGGGCATGCATACAAGAAAGAAGCCGTAGAATTTGAAGAAAAAAATGTAAATAAAAAAATCATAACTAAAGTTAAAACAGCTATTATTCTTTTCAATTAACACCTTTTGGCTTGACCCCATAGTGGGTGTGGGTGTGTGTTTCTCTTTCACCTGTGCATTAAATACAGATGAGAAGACTTTGGTTAAGTGGAAGAAACCTGACAAAAAAACACTTTGGAATTAAGAGCTGACATTTAGGCTGGAAAGAGGGGAGGGACACTCTGAAGGAAGCATTTAGCTAATGGGAAGGAAAAATCAAAGGCTATACAACATACACACCTTCTGGACCTGTGCACTGCAGAACGCATGTGGTGAGAGCACCAATGGCATGACACCCTGGAGCACAGCAGAGCCACTTACAAGGGCTCTATGTCAAACACTTAGAAAAGAGTCCAAAGTAAAAGTGCTGTGAGAGAGGTGGTAGGAACACAATCACCAAGGGCTGGACCAGTTTCTGTAGCTAGTCTGCAGGCCTGAAATTCATGCTTGTGGGAACACCCCTGGACCTGAAAGCTGGGTTCCAAGACATTCAGACACAGCTGGGAGATGGGGTAATATGGTAGCAAAGTCAGCTGTGTCAGTGTACAGCCTGTTGGGGGGCGGGTCAGCATATCGTCTCTGACAGAAGGAAAACTCTAGGGCTCACATGTCACAGCTGATCAACATTAGGTGCCCTCCTGAGCCTCAGAAAGCGTCTGATGAACTCTGCAAAGAGCCTGATCCACTACAGAGCACACAGCTTCCTATGGAACAGCCTAAGACAGGTAATTCTCATTCTCCCAACCTGTAAGCAAGTCATGACTTACAACTATTATAAGTTGTAAACACGAACAGAGACAATTAGGACATGCAACCCTAGGTGAGAAAATGAATGAGAATTTTCCAAAACTGAATGTATTATACTGCATTCCAAGATGGATAAATCGATACCTAGAAATTTGCCTAGAATTAAACTGTAGACTATCAAAGACAAAATAAAATATTCAGAGCCAGCAGAGACAAAGGACATATAACAAAGAAAAGAATTGATTCTATTAGGCCATCAAGAAAGAGAATGACCATAGTGGGCTGCCAAGAGACTTCTTTGACAACTAGACTCTGGTGAATCCAACATCTCCCCACCCAAGGAGCTTCCCTTCTCTGGCCTAGTCTTTGTTCTGATCAAATAATGCAGCAGGTGTGGTAGCTGATACTTAAATCTAGGCCTCAGAGGGTGAGCGACTTACATTGCTCTTTACTTGTAACTCTTGTGTGGGGCCTCTACACTTAGTCACTATGCTAGGAGAAGCAAAAGACAACAACCAAGGAGATTAAAAAAAAAAAAAAAAAAAAAAGCAAGCAACAATGACTGCCAGCCGCCATATGAGGATGCCACACTTGCTTCTTCACCTAAAATGAGTCCCTAAATAACTGCAGTCCCAGCTAGTATCAAAAGTATCTACCACATATACAAACTCAGGAAAGTAACAGGACATTATTTTTAAATTATTATTTTAAGTAATAATCACAACCCCCCCCCCCGTGTTCCTCCTGTCTTTCCCCCCACCCCATGACATGGTCTCACTGCGAAGACTAGGATGGCTTTAAACTAACAGATATCCACCTGCCTCTACCTCCTGCATTCTGGGATTAAAGGAGTATATCACCAGATGTTTTTATTTACTTTTGATTTTTGAGACAGAATCTTGCTACATAGTGGAATAATGTTCAAACTAGTATTATAAAATCAATTTAACATTATTCTAGAAATCTAGATGAAGATGAAACTACATTTTTATAACAAATAGTGAATGTTCCCCACTTAGGCACCCTTATGAAAGAAACACTCAGAAACACTCAAGAGTATATGCACACTGAAGTAATCATAAACAATAAAATTTATAACTATGATAGCAAACTAAATAAGCACCAAGAATAAAACAAAATGACAAAGTAACTTTTCCCAATCTGATTAACCAAATACTAGAATTTGGGCTTTTTAAATAATATTATATTTTTATTGATTATCTGGAAATTTCACACAACGCAAGCTGATCACATTCACTTCCTGGTCCTCCCAGGTCCACACTCCCACCTTTGTAACCATCCCCAAAACAAAAGAAGAAAAAAAAAAAAAACATATCAAGTCCAATTGTGTTGCCCATATTCTTAATGCAGCATGGTCAAACACCCAGTGGCCTGCCCCTTAAATAAAAAAAAAAAAAAAAAAAAAAAAAAAAAAAACAACTGAGTCCTTCCCCAACCCTGTCACAAGCTATCAACTGTGAAGAGCTACACTTCAGCTTCCCTATCACAATGGCTTCCATTATTACGTGTGTGTGTGTGTGTGTGTGTGTGTGTGTGTGTGTAAGGTAGGTGACTGGACAACTTGCAGGAATTGTGTGTGTGTGCAGGGTAGATGACTGGACAACTTGCAGGGACTGGTTCTCTCCTGCCACCATGTGGGTCTCAGGGACACAACTGAGGATCAAACCCAGAGAGTCAGGCTTTGTGCCAAGTGCCTCTACCTACTGAGCCATATCACTGGCCCTGCTGTGGCATTTTTAACTGCTATAGAAGATAATGAAGTTACACAGAACTGACCAGGAGCACAGTCAACATATACGAAAGTGTCTCACACAAGGTATTTATCAAGTCTTCCCCTGGCCCTCCCCCACACAGAACCCGTTATCACTCTGTATCTCAGAAGCTCTCAGCTCTACTATCAATAGACAGAGAAGGTGAATTTATAAGAGAAAAATGAAAAAAGTCAGATGTTCTACTTTCCTTTCTGTTGCTGTGATAACACATTCTCCAAAAGCACCTTGGGAGAGAAGTTTATTTTTAGCATTACATATCACAACCCAAGACTGAGGGAATCAGGCCTGAACTCAAGGCAGAAGCTTGAAACCGAAACAATGGAGGAACACCCCTTCCTGGCTCACCCATTAGCTTTCTCCAGGGCTCACTCACATGTTCCTGCTTACCTCACTTCTTACCTCACTTTCATAGCCCAGGACCACAGAGAGCTGCTCATGATGGGCTAGGCCTACCTTTAACCATAAATAAACAAGACAACCCCCCTCCCCTCCAATCCACTCTAGGAAACTCCTCACTGAGCCCTTCCTCAGATGACTTCCCTCTGTAAAGCTGACAATGAAAGCTCAGAAGGCAGCAGGCAAGCAGGAGTGCTCTCTCAGCATGCACCCAGATACAACAGCTCAGCTAGCTCCTTTGATGGTGGTCCATTTTGTCAACTTCAGAAGTCATGCCATGGACACACAATGTGAATGATTAATATCAGCATTTGGAACAAAAGGATCCTACACAAAAGATTTTAAGCAAAGAATTCCTTATAATATTAAAAATTATTATTTTCCTACCCATCACTTCATAAAATTTTAATGTTGACCAACTTAAAATTTCCATCATTCTAAATTTAAAAAGTAGAGATCAACTTAAGAATTTCAACTTTAAATTAACACAGAGCATAAGAAAGTGAGTGACCTTCTAAAGGCAGCCGCTGAGCGTTACTTACTTTAATGGCAAATTTCTTAGATGCCATTTCCAAATGAGCTACGTGTACAGAACCTGCAGAAGAGAAAAGAAACCTATAGTTAGATATATCAAATATCTCTTTGGGGGAATGTTATATGGAAGAGCTGGTTTAATAAAATATTACTAAGCAGTATGAGATAAAAGTTTAATTCTAATTGTCCTTAACTAAAATATTATGCTAATACCACAACCTAATATCTGATCTAATAACTGTATAAGCTCGGATAGCTTCCCTACAGTACTCCACCAAATGTTTGTAATCAACTTGCATTTACCCCAAAAATGCAAAGGTGGTGTAACATCTGAAAAGTAAGCAAAAAAATATACCTAAAAGTTGTCCTCTGACCTTCTAACATTCTGTGGTAGGTATATGAACTCTCTATTTCTGTCTCTGTCTCTCTCACACACACACCCCAAATAATTAATAATGCACTTTTAAAGAAAAACCCCATAGCTGAAATCATACATGAGTAAGCATTTCCTCCCATTAAGATGAGCAAAGGGCAAAGTCTTCTCTTGTCACTTTTATTCAAAACTGTACTAGAGAGCAAACAGACAAGGAAATGAACTAGGCATCCACAAAAGGAAGAGATCAAACTACTTTATTCACAAATAACATGCTTTTGCATACAGAAAGTTTTCCCTCTCCCTTCCTCTTTTTCCCTCTTATCTGTGTCCCTCCCTCCTCTCCTAGTTCTTACACACACATACACAAAGGATCTATTACAATTATAAACAACTTTGGGAGAGCTGGTGAGATAACTTGGTCCTATTAAAATCCAGGGTAATTTGGTATGACAGTAAAGAAATATGAAAAGTGAAATTAATAAAACAATTACATTTCTGATAGCAGAAAGAGAATATGAAGGAATAAATATAATTAAAGAAGTATAATATTTGTACACTAACCACCATAAAACAATATTGAAAGAAATTAAAGACTGGGCTGAACAAATTAGTTCAGGGACAGAGTACTTGCCTAGCACGAGCAAGTCTCTACCATCAATTGCCAGTGCCACAAGTCAAAGAATAATAAGCCTGTGTAAACAGCAATATACCTCATGTTTACACTCAAGGATTACAACACTTAATACCATTAAGATAACAATATCTCCCACACTGATTCTACCAATTCAATGCAATCTGTATCCAACTCCTCAAGAAAAAAAAAAAAAAAAAAAAAAAAAAGAAAGAAAGAAAAGAAAAGAAAAGTAAGCAATCCTAAAATATCTAGGAAAATACAAGGTATATGAGTACACAAAACAATCTTGAAAAACAAAGACTTGTGTGTCCCCATTTAGAAATTTAATACAAACTTGAAGCAATCAATATCACAGGGTACTTGCATTAAAACGTACATAAAAATCAACTGTATAAAATCAAGAATGCAAAACTTAGATCCTTACTTACAGCCACACGATTTTGAGTAAAGGTGTCAAAACAATTTGATGGGGAAGGAATTCTTCAACAATTGGTGGTGGGACAACATGCAGAGAGCAATACACTTTGTCCCTTCTATCACACTTCATACAAAAATTAACTCGAAGTGCACCAAATACCTAAATGTAAGAGCTAAACTATAAAACTCTTAGGAGAAAACATAAATATAAATTTTATGACCATTCATTTAGCCGATACATATGTGTGTGTGTGTGTGTGTACACACACACACACACACACACACACACATATATATATTTGAACTTTGACTTTTTATTGTTGATCTTTATGTGTTCTGTGTGTCCCTCACTTGTGTGGGTATGTGCATGTGTGTCAGTATGCACATGTAGGTGTTATGGAATATAAGTTGAAGACATGTCACATTAGTTTATGATGTGAAATATTTAATGATGCAATGTGTTTCATTCTTTTATGTTGCATTTGTTTAACTGTGTAAAGCTGTGTTACTCTGCCTGCCTAAAACACCCGATTGGTCTAATAAAGAGCTGAACAGCCAATAGTTAAGTAGGATAGAGAGATAGTTTGGGTTGCCAGACAAAAAAAGAATAAATAGTAGGAATCTAAGCTGGAGAGGAGAGGGAGGATTGAGAAAAAGAGAAGGACAGAAGGACACCAGGAGTCAGCCACATAACCAGCCATGTGGTAAGAAGGAAAGATAGATACATAGAATAAAGAAAAGTAAAAACCCCAGCTTAAAAAAGATGGATAGAAACAAGCCCAAGGCCTGGCATTCGTAAGTAAGAATAAGTCTGTGTATATTTATTTGGGCACTGGGTGGCAGGCCCCCAAAGAGTAAAAATAAAACTATATGCAGGTACATGACTATGGAGGCCAGAAATCTTGCAGGGAGTCTCCACTAATCTCTCTCTCCCTTATCTCTTGAAAGTTCGCTGTCCTGAAGTTAACAGATCCAACTATCTTAGGCCAATGAGCTTTAACCATCCATCTACGTCTGCCTCCCCAGCACTGGGATAACAGATGTTGTCACTACTACACCCAGTTTTTATGATGGCTCCTAAGAGTCAAACTAAAGTCATGATGTCTACACATCAATTGATTACCAACTGAGCTATCTGATTAAAACTAGCCAGTACAAACTCACAGAATGAAAAAAAAAATATGCTTATGATCCAAGTGATAAGGAATTCACATTCAAAATACATACAGAACTCCTACAACAACAGAAAAGAACAAATAGCACAGTTTTAAAATGGGCAAAGGGCTTAAATATTTCTTTCAAGAAGATTTAAAAATGGTCAATTACAGACATGAAACTGTTTACCATCATTAGCCATCAAGGAAATACAAATTAAAACCACACTAAAATGCCAATTTTTATCTTCAGAGATGGATAAAATCAAAGCAAAAACAAACAAACAAACAAAAACAAAAAATGTTCACAAAGAAAAACAATCATTTTCATCCAATCCAAGGATCTCTAGTCTAGAAAATCACAAGCACACAGGGAGTGGAGGCCTTCTAAGTCCACATGTGTCTCCATCCTACCTAGATGATCCAAATGAAGGCAAATTTGGAGAAGTGGGCTGACATAAAACATGGGATCTAAAAATATAGGCATCTGAGGTTCCCCAGGAAGCAGCCTAAACAGATGGCACTAAAGTGAAGTCTACAGCCATGAGACCCACAAAGATTCTAGTCATTTTAATGTTGCAGCTCAAACACAAACCAGAAATCATTCATCCCGATCCTATCGTGAAAGAAAACGAAACCAAACAAAAACTCTCTAAACAATAGAGAATTTTCAGAAAACAACAAACCAAAACTATGATAAGTAAAATCACTGGAAGGGTGGGACAGTCAAGTTAAGTAAATGTCTCAGAAACCAGCCAAAATGAAAACAATGAAAAGACAAGAGAGAATTAAGGAGCCAGTACAGGGTAGCTTAGCACATAGAAATTAAGATGAAAATTAGGCCTTTTCCTGGTATGTTTTATAGTGACATTTTAAGTAGAAAAAAAAGTAATCAGGACTAGGATATAGAATACAAAGAAATAATTAGGTGCCAGAATTGGATCCAGATTGTCCATACCAGCCCTGGGAGCTCTAAAACAAGGGAGAAATATCTTCTAAATTTCTTTCCTACTTCCAACTGCATTTAAATATAAGGAAATAAAATACATTTAGACATTTAAAGTCTATAAAAATTGCTGTGGTTCATACACTCTTTCTCAGGAAATACTAAGACGTACTTTGCCCAAATGAGGAAATTAACCAAGAAAGAGGAAGAAGCAAGAAATGGAAAGCCAAGAGAGAAAGCGGAAGCAAGCTACGAATCCTGAAAGGAGATCCCCATATGAGTACTGAACATATAAGGGGGAGCCACTGCAGGCAGGTTTTAGGGCTCCCAGAATAGCACATCCTGTCTGATCCATGCACATGAGATGAATTTCAGACAAGCAGTAAAGAACATGACATTGAATTAGGAAAGGCTCCTGGAAATCTAAGCAACTCTGTAACAAGCAATTACCAATTCTAGCATAAACAAGACCTGTGCCGACAAGAAAAAGAGTACTTAGCACACACAGCTCAGTTGTAACTAACATTGATAGTCATGATAGTAAACACTGAGTCTTGACCTAAACAATATATGCTGACCACAATATTACAGACATGGAGGCTATAAGCATATGTGTGGATATGTATGCTTCTGAGGGAATATAAATCAAAGGGAACAAAAGGTATCCCTGATGTTCATGAAACATTCCAAAACCAAAGCCTGGGATCAATAGTAACAGTCATAATAAAGCAGAAATATGTTGGCAAGTTATTTACCAATATCAACCAATTCTGTAAGTGTTAAATTCTGTACCAACCTGAAGAGCACAGTAGAGTTAATATGACGATGAACGGAAGATTCTATCCATAAGCCCTATGTGGGGGACTAGCTGTCTTTTAAAATTCTGTGCTCAATACTTTTAGAATACTATTATCCAACAGAAATGCAATGTCAGCAACAAATTTAATTTAGAAGTTTCTAGTAGCTACATTTCATAAAAATCAAACAGAAAGAGGTGAAATGGTTTCCACAATATTTTTGATGCTGGGTAGATGGCTCAGTGGGTAAAAATACCACATAAGAATGAGTTCAAATCACCAGATCTCATTTTAAAAAAAAAAAATGAAGGAAGGAAAGAAATAGAAAATCTGTGTGGAATATTCCTTTACACCATGTAAATCCATGTCACTGTGATTGGTTTAATAAAGAAGGGGACTGGCCAAAAGCTAGACAAGATAAGGGTAGAGCCAAACTGAGAATGCTAGAAGGGTAGAGAGAGGGAGACCCAAGCAGATACAGATAGAAGCAAGATGGACATGCCATACTGAAAAAAGGTACTAAGCCATGTGAAGAAGCGTAGATAAAAATATGGGTTCATCAAAAATGTAAGAGTTAGCTAGTGATAAGCCTGAGCTGTTGGCTTATAAGCACTTTGAGGGCAGAGAAAGGGTAAACTAGGAAGCCTGCTGGTCTGTCATCATAGCTGAAAACCTGCCCTTCAGACTCATGGAGGGACTATGGCTCAAGGAATAAAGCAGAAAGAACTCCTTT